GGACTCGGCGGAGAAATCCGGCCGTGGGCAGACAAGAGACGAGTCTTACCACCAAATTGGGTAGCCGGCGAGGACCCTGGTGCCAGAGAGCAGGAGGCCGAAGAGCGGCCCGAGCAGGTGGGGCTCCATTAGAAGCGGCGCCGAGGAGGAAGTTTGCCCGCGATCATGAAGAGGGGGAGCGACGCCCCCAATAGTTGGAACAAAGTCCACTTGAGATTGGAAATGACTTTCGGGCTTGTCAGAAGCGCACCTCCACCCGCAGCCGCCCCCCTCGCGAGCCCAGCGCGGAGCAGCCGGGTTTGAGGATGTCAGCGAGCAGCCAATCAGCGCCCGCGGCCTAAGGTAAGAGATGAGTCTGTAGTTCAGCCTGTCAATCACGCGCCCCTCCCGCCCGGCCCACGAGTCGGGCTCCGGGAAGGGCATCGCCCAGCAAACTTGGGCAAAGCTCGCGCCCCGGACACAGTGGGAACTTGGGGCGGGGGGTGGGGACACATGGCCCGCTGGACCCTTTGCTGGCCCGAGGCGGCCGCGGTCCCCAGCTAGACAGGTTTAGGAAGCTGGGTCTTTGACCCCAGCGTTCACGTGGTGGCCGGTTGGCTTGGGCTGTAACGGGTGGCTCCTTTTCTCCCCGGGACCGTGACCCCTTGGGACTTGGGCCCGTGAGGGGTGGCGAGTGGAAAGCTCAGGAATGTTTCCAGAAGCCTGGCTCTGGCAGGGTAGGACCCGAGGGTCTCAGGGGGTTGGGAAATGCGAGCCCCGGGACCTCGCATCCGCCGGCGTGGACCCTGCCACAGGAGGTCGCTTCCCGGGTGTCCGAGAAGCGCGCAGAAGGGTCCGCCTAGGCTCGAAGGTCTGGCTGCGGGCGGCGCCGGGGGACGGAGCTGAATGTCATTTGAGTCTTTTGTCAGGGATCAGATCGGTATCGGGACCTCCTGCTGCCTTTGCATTTCCTGCAACTGACACCCGCGGCCAGTTGCATTTCCTGCTCGTGGAGCCGGGTCACTCTCTCCTTGAGGGGTTCAGGTGGGGCCTCCGGCTCCGGTCAGAAGCACAACCTGCAGTCCAGTTTCAATCTTGCAGATGACGTTTTGGGGCCGTGGAAAGCGGCAGACCAAGCGTGGAGCAGAGGGTTCTTTCGAGGACACCCCTGCCTTTCACGACCCTTCTTTCTGCCCTGCTCTCCTGTCTGAGGATCTGGGCTCCACTGGGATTTGGTGATAGCATCCTCTTTCTCTGAGAATCCCACCCCTTGCCATCGGAAAAAAGTCCTTCCAGCTCCTGCTCTCCCTGGGCTTTCTCTCCCTCAGAATTGCATCTGAGTCCTGGTGGCACTGGGATGAGGCTGAATTTGAGGAGCTTACTCCCAGTGACTTGGATAGCCAGCACCCCAGCTCCCCTCCTGGACCACTGGAGACCCCCCCAGAAGCATTGTGGGTCTGGGGTGAGGAAAGCAAGGCCATTTGTGGGGGCCCCTGGCTTGGGGGGGGCGTGCTCTCGGGAACTTCATGGAGGCGCAGGATGGGCCAATCCCAAATCCAACTGAGGCCAGAGCAGCGCCCCTCGAGGTGGAGGCACCCCAGAAGGCTGCTGGGGACCAGGCAATCCTGGCCTTTGATCTGGACGGCCGGTGCCCAAGGCTCAAGGCGGGTGCCCCTGCAGGTCCCGAGTCCTCTCCTCACATGGCTACGAAGGGCGCGGGGAGCTGGGGGAACTGGCCCGGGGGCACCAAGGGTCGGGGGAGCCGCCCGGGCTTGTCACTGCTTCTGCCTCATTCCTAGCCCGGTGCTCAAGTGGAGGGGGGGCAGGGGGAGGAGATGAAAGAGAGGAGGGACGGGACGGGGACAAAAGGGAGGTGCGGAGTAGAGAGGAAAGGCAGAGATGGAGAGACAGAGAGAAGCCCAGGGAGATGAGGGAGGGAGCCCCCTCGGGGTCTGCAGAGAAAGGGAGAAGGGAGAACCTCAGAGGGGAAAGATGGGCAAGGGGAGAAAAAGACCCGCCCGTGCCTGCATGGTGGAGGCTGGAGGCTGCAGGTGTGTGTGTGGGGGGGGAGGGGGGTCAGATTCTGGGGTGCCTTATTTTTGATTCACCTGGAAAAGGGGGTCACAGTAAACCTGCATTGTTCTTGACTACCAACCCCAACAGTCCAGGCTGTGGGGGTAGAGAGCCCCACCACACACACACACCCCCTCAGGCCTGTCCTACCCAAGGGTGGTGTTGGGGTTGGGGGGTGGGGGTCTCAGCTGGTTTTCTGCTCAGAGGTACCTGCTGGAGCTCAGATTTTGCCCAAGAGTTTGAGGGGCTTCAGAGCCCCATAGTCATCTTTCTGAGACTTCCCCAGGCCATCAAGACAGGATTCTGTGGATTCAGTGTGGCTGGGAGGTAGGTGCTGGACTAGATGACCCCTGGGGGTCATTTCTGGGTTCCAAGATTCCACAGGTGCCAGCTCTGGAAGGTGGGGGCGAAAGGTCCCCTAGGCTGCTGGTGGGTGGGGGTTGGCTGAGCCCAGCCCAGCCAAGAGCTCTGGGCAGTCTAAACAAGCCTGACTTCTCCCCAAGGAGGCTGCAGCTCTAAAAGCCTCCGGGCACCCAGGTCATGGGTGCGGGGCAGGGAATGAAGAGAGGCCAGAAAACAAGTGGGTGGGAGGGTGGAACCCCAGCTTTCACTGGCTGAACCAGCCTGGGGAAGGAAAGGAGAAGACTGAAAGGGGGGTGTGGGACCCAGCTAGTGGCCGGGTGGCGCCCTGAGAAGGGAGGCATGTGTGGGGATTTCCCTCCACTTGAAAGCTCCCCCAGAGGAGGGGATTCCTGAGCCCTTTCCCTCCCCTGCCAGGTGTCCTTCCTTCAACACAGGCTTAATTTCCTTCCTCCTACCCGCCCTGCGCTGCCGGTGGGTACATAGGAATGGTCCCTGGCGGGGAGGGGGAGGCAGCCCCGGTGCCACGTGTCATCAGCGGAAGCACCTTTGCTCCACGGGGCAGCCCAACCCCAGAGCGGCTGCACTGTGAGAAAGGGTTAACTCATTCCAAGGTCAGCGAGGGGGGCGAGGGGGCGGCCCCCCAGCGGTGGACCCCGAGACCTCGGGCCTGAAGGGCTAGAAGATGCGGAGGGCCAGGGGCCCAGGGCCGCGGGTGGCACGCGGCAAGCACTTTGTGCTGTGTGTGTGGATATCGGGGTCCTCAGACCCGCCGACGGTACAGCCCCATCCACCCCGCCTCTCAGCTGCCCCGAGGTTCCTTTTGATGTGCGCTCCCGGGGCCTCCGTGTATTCAGCGCCTCTCGAGACCGCACCCCCTGCGGAGGCCCTGGGGAGACAAAGAATACGCCGGCCAGGCCCCCGCCCGCCCGCCCGCAGGGGGATACCGGTCTGTCTCGGGGAGTAAAGGGAAATCTCTGGTCCTGCGCTGGGAGATTCGTTTTTTGGCTTGGAACTTGCTAGGTGACTGCTACGGCTGGGAGCCTGGCGCTCAGACCAGCTCGGGAGGGTGAAGGTGAAAACTGCCTGCTGCAGCCCCAGACGCTTATGACAATGAATCTCACGCGGGATCCGCCCCAGCGCGGTGCTTTGGGGTTCTGCGGTCTCTGACCTGGAGCGAGCGAGGGGCTGTCAACTTTCTCCTAAATCTATTTGGAACCGCCTAACAGTTTTAAGGGGGTTTTCTTGGCAGCCACTAGACGGCTGGACAACCAGAGTGGGCAACCTGCAGTCAAGAGCAGGAGAATTCATTGAGCAGTTTCTTAAATTGCCCCGCGTAGAGGCAGCGTCCTGAAAACGTTGGAAGCCTGCCCAGGGTGCACTCAAGGATGTGCAGCAAAGGTCAATGGAATACACAAAGGCACCGCGCTCCGCAGCCAGGGGGCCTCTCTGACACCCGGCCCTGGCGCGCCCCCTGCTGGCGGTGCTGATAAAAGGCAGGAAGTCTGCAAGCTAGGAAGGAAGCACTGCCCCCCCTCCCCGCTGCCCCCCCACACCCTCGACTGGAGTGGCCCAGATTTGGGGGGATCCGAGTTAAGTAGGCGTCCCCAGGAGTGAATGCCCTTAATCTACTCTGCAATCCCCTAGCTTAGTTGGGGATCAGCGTGTTTCCCTTCCCTCCCCACCCAGGGGACTCCCTTTGGAGGCCACTGGGCTCCAGATGAAGGAAGCAGGCAAACTGTGCTGACGGGCAGTCCTGGGCTCACGCTGCCAGGATGGGTAGCTCCAGGCGGGACCCTGCAGCTGGACGGCCTCAACCGGTGTGGAGATGTGGGAGGCTGCAACAGAGAGGGTGGTGACACTGGGCCCTTTCTGTTCTGGCCCACCCGCACCCCAAGATCAACAAGGTCCTGTGGGAACAGGAGGGGCTTTTCCTGTCACAGTAGTGCCCCTATCTTAGCCGTCTCTAGCTCCCTAGGGCATTTTGGAAAGCAATGGGGTCAAATCCTTTAGAAGCCGTAGGAGGAGGGGCCTGGGGGCCATGCTGGCCCAGGCCAGTGACCGCTGAGCGGCTGCTACTCAGTCCTGAGTGGGGATGAGACCTTTGTGTCCAGGGAGTTGTCAGCATTAATCGAGCCCGGCACTGACAGAGAGCCAGACCGTGGGTGCAGAATGGTAAACACGGGGTTTCTTGCTTCTCTTCCCAGGGCTGAGGCGTAAACTGCTGCCTTGGGTCACTTCTGCCTCCAGCAGCCTCAGCTGAGCGGTTCCTCCTAGGCCCAGGAAGATTCATGCTGGGAAATCTCTGACTTCCCAGCTCTAGGCCCCCTGAGGGTGCCTTCAGAGAGGCACCCCCACAGCACCATCATGCCCACCTGTCTCATGGCCGCTCAGTCTGGCTTTTTTCGCCTATGTTGACACTGAGCTGTGTGACCACACTAGATGCCCAAGGTGTCTGTCGCGTTGTTCTCTTAACGTTCCCCATTTCCGACTCCACCATCTCTGGAAGTGCTGAAGGCTCCATGGGACAGCAGGCTCTGGCACAGGCCCCTGATGAACTCTTGGTGACGCTGGAGGAGCGGGCGAGGCCAGGGGCCGAGGCCTAAGAGTGCCACGCCCCCCCCCCAACACCTGCTCCGTGCCGCCGAGGCGAGGGCAGGGGTGGGCAGCCTGTGTGTGGCCCTCACCCCTCCACCTCTTCCTCTCCCTCTCCTTCCCAGTCTCCCCCTCTTTAACCTGTTTTCCCCCAGAACCGCAAGTCCCTGCCTGGGCATCACTGGCCTGCTCGTGGCCTTGGACCCTAACCCAAGGTCACTGCGTGTTTGGGGAT